TTGAGCCCAGGAGTTCAAGGTTATAGTGCTCTATGATCACACCTGTGAATATCACTGTAATCCAGTCTGGGCAACATAGTGCAACCCTCATCTCTTGTAAGAAGGAACAAATGAATTGAATGTTCTTCCTTTACTCCAAAGTTTTACTCTTGCTTGTCTTTCCCTCACCTACCCTATCTTTGTCACAATTCTTATCAATAAAACATCTATTCACACCACATATCTACAGTTACTCAACTTATAAGGTGACACTGCAGTCAGGTAGAGAAAGGATGGTCTCAACTGGTGCTGAGTCAATCCGATATCTACATAGAAAAGGAATCTTGACTCTTCCTCAAACACATACTAAATAATTTCAGATGGATCCCATATATTAGACATAAAAAGTAAAACAATATGACTTTTGGAAGAGAGCAGAGAAGAAAAATCTTCAAAGCCTTAAGTAGGCAAAGATTCTTCTTTTTTCTTTTTTTGAGTTGGAGTCTCACTCTGTCGCCTAGGTTGGAGTGCAGTGGCATGCTCACAGCCACCGCAGTCTCGACCAGCTGGGCTCAGGCAATACTCAGCCTTCCAAGTAGCTGGAACTACAGGCATGGGCCACTATGCACAGCTAATTTTTTGATTTATGTAGAGACAAGGTCTCGCCATGTTGCCCAGCCTGGTTTTGAACCTGCAGGCTCAGGCAATCCTCTCATCTCTGCCACCTAAAGTGTTGAGATTACAGGTATAAGCCACCACACCAGTTGGCAAAGATTTTTCAAGCAGGATATAAAGAGCACTAATTATAAAAGAAAACGTTGATACATTAACACTTAGATTAAAAAACTTGTTTTCATTAAAAAGCCTTTAAGAAATTTATAAAGACAGACACAGACTAGAAAAATAATAGAAAGAAATCGACAAAATCAAAATTTTTTGTAAAAATCAAGAAACTTGACAAACCTTTAGCTCATCCAAATAGAAGAGAAAACATTCAGATTACTAAAATCAGGAATGAGAGAACATCACTACTGATCTTTCAGAAATAAAAAGGCTTACAAGGGAATACTATAAAAAAAACCTGTATGCCAAGAAACTCACTAGCCTGGCTGGTAGGTAGGAAGGGCCTATCTGTCTGCACACAGTAGGAGCTTAGTTTATGGAAAACATCATGATTGGTGATTTGGGGTTCATTTTAAGGTCTCCTACAATCCTGGCAGCTCCTAAATCTTGGCATCTCAGTGCCTCCGGTGTTTTAACTGCAGGCTGTGATGCTGGATTCCTTTTGTCATATTTGAGCAAGTTAACAAGTTTTCCAACTCTCAGAAGTGTCTGTTGATAGCAGCCCACCTTCAGTCTTTAGAAGTGATGACACAATGTTTGAAAAGGCACAGGCTTCCCTATGGGACCCTATTTACGTTGTAAGGGAAAGGAAGTTTTAGAAAAGGTATTTGTGGCCATTGCCTTGCTAAGGTATGGTGTGGCCATGTGGCTCTTTGAGTTATGGCTAGGCCATGTTTACTTAAGCTTTGGTTCCCTCCCCTACTTTGGGGAGGCGAATCTTCTCTTTTTTCCTCTAATTTACTTTATTTTATTTTATTTTTTTGAGTTGGAGTCTCATTCCACCGCCCAGGCTGGAGTGCAGTGGCACACTCATGGCCACTCCAGCGTTGACCCACTGAGCTCCAGTGATCCTGCCTCAGTCTTCCAAGTAACCAGTGATCCTGCCTCAGTCTTCCAAGTAACAGGTGCATGCTACCACACCTGGCTAATTTTTTGATTTATTGTAGAGATGAGGTCTCGCCAAGTTGCCTGGGCTGGTCTCGAACCCTTGGGCTCAGGCAATTCATTCACCTCGGCCTCCCAAAGTGCTGGGATTACAGACTGAGCCACTGAGCTCAGCCTCTAATTTATTTTTAAATAAACTATATTTTCTTTTTTTTTTTGAGTTGGAGTCTCACTCTGTTGCCCAGACTGGAGTGCAGTGGCTGCTCCCGGCCACCGCAGCCTCGACCTGCTGGGCTCCAGCGATCCTTCCGCCTCAGCCTTCCAAGTAGCTGGAACTATAGGCGTGTACTAACATGCCTGGTTAATTTTTTTTTTTTTATTGTAGAGATGAGGTCTCGCTAAGTTGCCCAGGCGGGTCTTGAACCCGCGGGCTCAGGAAATCCACTCACCTCAGCCTCCCAAAGGCGCGGGATTACAGGCTGAGCCACCGAGCTGGGCTTATATTTTCTAATCTTAAAAAAAAAAAGTATTTGCTAGCTCTGAACTTAATTGAAATCAACTCAATACGTTTGATTTAAACCTTTTTATTTTTAGACATATTTCTTTAAGCATTTAATATCTTTTATTGATTCAGTGGCCAAATAAGGCAGCATCTGCTCAGTTAAGAAAGGCACCTCATCAGAACTGAAATACCTAACCGTGTTGTAAGCCCCTGCTATAGGACCAGCTGCAGCTGCTGACTCCTTGAGGGCAGGGACCGTGCTGAATGTAGATAGTAGCAGCTCAACTTGCACTTAAGAGCCCTTCTTATAGGATGTTTATTGAGTCATCTTCAATGGTCAAAACCAAAGCACTAAAGAGTTTATACTTGCTTCCTCCTCACAATTCTATCTTCCCCTCTTTCCTCTACTTACAAGCCTTCATTTGGCAAAAAAACATTTACTAGAGGGTAACCTCAGGAAGACTCCACTGCAGGCAGAAAAGTCTAGTTTCAGGGCTGGGAAATTCCAAACAAATTTTTAAAAAGCAGAATATGTTTAGGGGAGCATATCTATTTGGGCATGAGCCCTCAAAGGAATGACTTTGCCCTGGCTAGATGCTGTTCCCTTGCTGTCCGATCCAGCAGTTGGGTGTATGAAGCAGGAATCTTTATAGCTTGGAGGGATTGAGAAGGGACTCCTTTGGATGTGATCATAGACGCCCCAAAGAAGGCTACCAAAGTGGCTTTGCCTTCACTTTCAGCTTGGAAGCTGGACCCTTGATTTCCATTCAGACACATGAATGAGTCCATGATCCTGCTGTTCAGCCCACAAAAGAATCTGTGCTTCTTGAAGCCAGCATGGCAGGGAGGAGTGTGATATTATAAAAAGATGGACCTTGGAGTCAAGAGACCTGATTTTGAAGCCTGTCTTTGCTATGTGACTTTGGGAAGTACTTTTTTCTCCTTGAGTCAGAAATTTTCATCTGTGCTAGAAAAAAATAATTCTTTCCAGGGTTACTGGGAAAATTAAATCCTAGGAATAACTTACATAAGAGCACCTTGCAAAGTGCCAGGTACTTGGGGGCCCTCTCAACATAATAGGAAGAAATGATGGCTGGAAGGAAGAATTTGCCAGTATTTCTCCAGAGCTATTCCACTGAGTATTTTTATAGTGGGATGACATGAGCTGTGTGATCCTGGGTCAGACCACTTACCTTCCTGCCTGTCAATTGCCTCTCAAAAGGGATTTCTGACTCCAAGAGGGACAAACTCCCAACATTTGAGGTTAGAGGTCAGAGCGTATTACTTTCTGTAACAGAATAAATATTTATTACCTTGTTTCCAAGATGCAATCAATTGTAAGATACACAATAGATTAAAAACAACTTTTTTGAGAGGGAAGAAAAAAAATACAATTGTATGAATGGACCCATCAATTGTAAGACATATTCTGATTTCAGAATCATTAAAATGGGAACAAATGTATATCTTACAATTGAAGAAAACTCGTAATAATAATATTGGCTACCATTTATTAAGCATCTACTGAGTGCTGGGCACTATACCCATGCTGCCTTACTAAGTCCTTGTCTTGTTCTAATAACCCAGTGGGGCAGATGTTATCATTTCCCCTTCATGGTTAGGAAAGTGAACATAGAGAAGCTGAGTCACTTCCAAGGCCACACAACCAGGAAGTAGGGTTTGGACAGCAGGTAGTCTTAATTCCAAAATGCTTTCCCTTCTCAGTAGATAGTTCTCCAGGCTAGGGAATCAGAGATCAGCACTCTACAGAGAAATGGTTTGGGAACGTGGTACTTTGAAAATACCTTGAATCTCTGAGAGGTGACCAAGAAGAAATAGGTAATCTAATCAATCTCCAAATACTGGTTGTCAGAGGTAAGGCGTTAATAGGAGAAACAGGGAAGGATACCTGCATAATGAACATTTGTATACCTAACCCTGAATTGTACCCCGCATCTTCATTTTTTTTTTTTTTTGAGTTGGAGTCTCACTCTGTCGCCCAGACTGGAGTGCAGTGGCTGCTCCCGGCCACCGCAGCCTCGACCTGCTGGGCTCCGGTGATCCTTCTGCCTCAGCCTTCCAAGTAGCTGGAACTACAGGTGCGTGCTACCACGCCCGGCTAATTTTTGATTTATTGTAGAGATGAGGTCTCGCCAAGTTGCCCAGGCGGGTCTCGAACCCGCGGGCTCAGGCAATCCACTCACCTCAGCCTCCCAAAGGTGTGGAATTACAGGCTGAGCCACCGAGCCCGGCTGTACCCCGCATCTTTAAAATAAAATAATTTTTTTTTAAATAGGAGAAACAGGCTTACTTAGAACCCAGACAAAGGGAAGCCAATAAATGAGACTGAGTCAGGGTTGATCCAGCCCACTGGAGGAGAAGGGCCCTGACCAGTTGGCAGGATTGTCCACAGACAATACAACAAACTCTTATCCTAGAGATCAGTATTCCTCAAGGTCACCCTATTCCTTCTGCTGACTCTTTACTAAAGAAGCAGAAACCCTTTGAGAAGAATTCAGTTTTTCTTCTAACTTTTCTTGAAGAGGGAAAAATGTGCTGACCAACCGCCATAGCTAGCTAGCAGTCACTTAGTGCTGGGACAAGTTATAAATTAACAAGTTGGTTTTCTGACTCATTAGTCCAAGTTAGTTCCCCTGTGCCTGGTTATGGGATTGAATATTTTGCTCTGCAAAGCTGTGGATACGGCACTTAATCTGATATGACAGGGGCAGATCCTGTTGTGACACTCTTGGAAGCATCCCCTGCCTGACCCCTGACTCCTGACCAAGGACTCGTGGGCTGTCTGTCTGTCTGTCTAGCTATACAGTGTCAGGAGAAAGCCAAATCCACAATAGTGGATTCCCAATCTAGTTCTACCTCACCAGATGACAAAAGGATGCTCCACAGAGTTTTGGTAGTTGGCGGCAGGGACCTGGACATAGTTGGGGTGGGTCAGGGCAGGAGGAGGTTGAGGGTTGCCTGAAGCATCAGGGATTGCGTGTAAGATGCCTCTGTGGATCTGACCAGGAGGAACTCATGGTGAAGCTGCCGGAGAAGGTGCTCCTGGGTCTTGGCTCTGGAGAGGCTCTTTGGACAGTGGCAGACACAGTACCAGGGCAGAGGTCACCGAGTCTCCACATGGACATCAACAGGACTGAAGGTCACAGTTGCAGGGTGTTGGTTGCTGTTGCTGTTTGGGCCCTGGGGAGAAGGGGTGGCTGGCTTGGGGCCCTTCGGCTCCAACTCCCGCCTCGTCCTCATTTTCCTGTGAGGAGAAATGCACACATGATCAAGTCTTGCCCCTCGTATGCCATGGGGGAATGGGCTCTGTGACTACAGTTCTGGAGAAGAGATTAATGGAGATAATCATTCAGTCACATGGCTTAATTGTCACCCACAGAATTTTACCACTGGAAAGGACCTTTGACGTCAGCTGGTCTGCCCTTCAATTTTTCATTTAGCTTAGATTAGATATTTATTTTTATTTGTTCCTATTAATGCATGAGCAAAGTGTCAGGTGGCTATATTGAAGACAAAGTGAAAGTATGAATCACATATTTTTCTGTTCAGAGTTGTAGTGTGCGTTAAATTTTACAGCTTCATTATGCTTGCTAAGTTTATTTTAGAAATATTTAAGAGATTTTCTTTTTTTTTTTTTGAGTTGGAGTCTCACTCGGTCGCCCAGACTGGAATACAGTGGCCACTCCCGGCCACCGCAGCCTTGACCTGCTGGGTTCCGGCGATCCTTCCGCCTCAGCCTTCCAGGTAGCCGGAATTATAGGTGCGCGCTATGACGCCCGGCTGATTTTTTTATTTATTGTAGAGATGAGGTCTCGCTGCCCAGGCGGGTCTCGAACCCGCAGGCTCAGGCAATCCACTCACCTCAGCCTCCCAAAGGCGCGGGATTACAGGCTGAGCCACTGAGCCCAGCTAGATTTTTTACTTAGTTGAAAAGAGAGTGTACTTAAAACATATCTCCTGGCTTCATTAATATGCTGTAAAATCCAATAACCAACAATAATTATGTATCCTAGTGTTTACTGGTATTCCATCTTGTTGGCATAATTTTTTTTTTTGTTGGAGTCTCACTCTGTTGCCCAGGTTGGAGTGCAGTGGCATGCTCATTGCCATCGCAGCCATAACCTGCTGGGCTCAAGTGATCCTTCCGCCTCAGACTTTCAGATAGCTGGAACTACAGACACACACGAGCATGCCCAGCTCATTTTTTGATTTTGTAGAGACAAGGTCTTGCCAAGTTGCCCAGGCACAAAATGGCTAAGACAACCCTTCCCCGAACAATTCACCAATTGTTAACAATTTGCCATATTTGCCTTCTTCTCTCTCTCTCTCTTTCCACTTGCAGAAACACCCACTATTTTTTTTTAGTTGGAGTCTCATTCTGTTGCCCGGGCTGGAATGCAGTGGCACAATCATAGCTCTCCCCAGCCTCGACCTCCTGGACTCAGGTGAGCCTGCCACCTCAGCCTCCAGAGTAGTTGGATCTACAGGTACATGCCACCATGCCCAGTTAAGTGTTTGATTTTCTGTGGAGAGGAGGTCTCACTATATTTCCCAGAATGGTCTCAAACACCAGAGCTCAAGCAGTCCTCCTACTCCAGCCTCCTGAAGTGCTGGGGTTACAGGCATGAGCCACTGTGCCTGGCCCACAATTTTTTTTATTTTTTGAGTTGGAGTCTCACTCCATTGCCCAGGCTGGATGGAGTGGAGTGGCACACTCACAGCCACCCTAGCGTTGACCTGCTGGGCTCAGTCGATCCTTACACCTCAGCCTTCCAAGTAGCCAGAACTACAGGTGCATGCTACCACACTGAAAAAAGGAACATCTGCTTCTGGGCTTCTGGAATGTCCCTGACCCCTAGGGCAGCCATAGCTCCCTTCCTGGAAACTTCTCCTCTGTTTTGTTAATTAACTGGGAGAGCTAATCTGTTTATGCCAGCATAACCAGCTACATCTGCTTCTGTGAACTTGCACGCTTGTGCCAGCAGGAGATAGGAAATGTTGTGGTTGGATTAAAGAAAGCCCCTAATGCATGTAGCCCAGGCCTTCAGAATGCAGTTAAGGGCTATTTAAGACAATCCTTTGCTGCAGGACGGGGCGTTGCCTTGGAATTTGTGCTTCCAGCAAGTGGTCGCTGGCCAGCTGAGCTTTGACTAATAAACCTCTCCCTTGTTACTTGTAAACATGTGTCAGTGTCTGTGATTTAAGCACTCGGACCCTACTTCAACACCCAGGCTAATTTTTTGATTTATTGTAGAGATGAGGTCTCACCATGTTGCCTAGGCTGGTCTCAAACACATGGGATCAGGCAATCCTCTCGCTTTGAGTTCCCAAAGTACTGGGATTACAGGCTTGAGCCACTGCGCCTGGCCTAATTTTCTTTTTTTAATCACAAACTATTTGTGACTTAATTGCACACATCATGCCACTTCACTTCTAAATACTCCTAAAAACAAGAACAGTCTGCAATATATCCATAATGCAATGCTAACTTTGAGACTCTTCCATTTTTTTTTTTGAGACTCTTCCATTTGGAAGATGACAAAATCAAGGCAGGGAGGTTAAATAACTTGCCTGGTTTTGACAAATCAGAGACTGAACCCAGCTCTCTCAATTCCCAGTCCAAGCATCAGTGGGATGAGTGGAGACTTGATCCAGATGACAACCTGGGAAAGGGACTCATGACCTGCCCCCATCAAAGGGAAGGTTTAAAAGCATTCAACTTCAAGCAGTCATTTCTCATTCCTTTGCTAAACTCTGGTGTGTCCTCTTGGCTCTTTGAGTTATAGCCACCAAATTTCTTAGCTGTGACCCCCTCCTCTCCCTTGGGGAAATGAATCTCCTCTCTCTCTCTAATTAACTTTAAAAATGAGTGATATTTTCCAGTCTTAAAAAAGAAAAAAGAGCTGGGCTCAGTGACTCAGCCTGTAATCCTGTGCTTTGCCTGACACATGGTAAGAGGTTTGGAGGCTGAGGTGAGTGGATTGCCTGAGCCCGCAGGTTCGAGACCGCCTGGGCAACTTGGTGAGCCCTCATCTCTACAATAAATAAATTTTAAAAAAGTAGCCAGGTGTGGTAGCACGTGCCTGTAGCTCCAGATACTTGGAAGGCTGAGGTGGAAGGATCGCCAGAGCCCAGCAGGTTGAGGCTGCAGTGGCTGGGAGCGGCCACGGCACTCCAGTCTGGGCAACAGAGTGAGACTCCAACATTGAAATAAAATGAAATGAAATAATGAAATGAAATGAAATGAAATGAAAATAAATGATATTTTCCAATCTTAAAAAAGAAAAAAGAGCCGGACTCGGTGGCTCAGCCTAAAATCCCACACTTTGCCTGACACATGGTAAGAAGTTTGGAGGCTGAGGTGAGTGGATTACCTGAGCCCGCGGGTTGGAGACCCGCCTGGGAAACTTGGTGAGACCTCATCTCTACAATAAATCAAAAAATAAGCTGGGCGCGGTAGCACGTGCCTATAGTTCCAGCTACTTGGAAGGCTGAGGCGGAAGGATCGCTTGAGCCCAGAAGGTCAAGGCTGTGGTGGCCAGGAGTGTGCCACTGCACTCCAGTCTGGGCGACAGAGTGAGACTCCAATTCAAAAAGAAAAAAGAGGCTCAGCGCTCTAGTAACAATGGAGAGGAAAGAAGGGTAGACATTGGGGTTTGATGCCATTTCCTGTTTGGGATGGACCCAAACTGTACCACCCTAAAGACTTAAAAAATATCTTTTAATGTTATTATTACATGTAATGGTGGGGCTATTTTCTTTGAAATCAGATGGACTGGGTTTGACTCACAATTTAGCCAATTAGGGCTGAACAACCTTGGACATGTTACTTAATCTTCTTGTACCTGTTTCTATACCTGTAAAATTGAGGATAATAGTAGTACCTACTATTAACCAGTAGTTGTGAGGATTAGATGAGTTACACATACACAAAGAGCTTAGAACTATGCTTGACACATGGTAAGAGGTAATATATGTCAGTTGCCTTTATATTACTATTATGTAAATAATATTCATGTTATTATAGAAACAATGCAAACTTACTACTTCACAGAAATAAGGAAAATCCACCTCTCAACCAAAACTAACAAACATTGGACCTGGCGATTCAATAAAAAAATAAAAAATAAAAAACAAACTAACTATCCCATCATGCAGGCACACTGGTTGTTAACATCTTGTTGTGTTCATCTCCCTTAGGGGGGTGTATGTGTTTATCCCATGTATGTGATCAAAATGTGTATTACTCTTGTAAATTTTGACAATATATTGTATAAGCAGCTTTCCTTATCAATAAGTACATTTCTTCTTCTTCTTTTTTTTTTGTCAGGGGTTTCACTCTGATGTCCAGGCTGTAGTACAGTGACACAATCACAGCTCAGTGCAGCCTCAGTCTCCTAGGCTCAGGTGATCCTTCTGCCTCAGTCTCCTGAGTAGCTGGAACTACAGTTGTGCACTACCATGCCCAGCTAATTTTTATTGTAGAGTCGAGGTCTTGCTATGTTGCCTAGGCTGGTCTCAAACTCTTGGGCTCAAGCAATCCTCCCACCTTGGCCTCCCAAAGTGTTGGGATTATAGGTGTGAGCCAATGCATCCAGCCTTATTAATTAATAAGTATATTTCTAGCCGGGCTCAGTGGCTCAGGCTGTAATCCCACACTTTGGGAGGCTGAGGTAAGTGGATTGCCTGAGCCCGCGGGTTTGAGACCCGCCTGGACAACTTGGCGAGACCTCATCTCTACAATAAATAAAAAAATCAGCCGGGGATGGTAGCGCGCTCCTGTACTTTTTTTGTTTTTGTTTTTGAGTTGGAGTCTCACTCTGTTGCCCAGACTGGAGTGCAGTGGCCGCTCCT